ATTTCTCTATAAGAAAAAAAAATTCATACGAATCGTTCATTTATCCGCGTTAATTTGATGAATAAATGAAATATTGATCGGTCTTCAATTTTCGGTACTGACTGATTCTCTAATTTCTTTATAATAAGAATAAAAATTGATAAGAATCGTTCTTTTAGCCGACTTAATTTGTTGAGTAAATTAGTGGGGTAAGTACCTGCAAGATGAAAACAACTTGTCATTGCACTTGGACAATTTTCTTGACATTAATTTATGGTATTGATCAGTCTCCGGTTTTCAGTACTGATTTATTTTTTCACTTTTGTATAAGACAAAAATAATTGATACGAATCATTCATTTATCCGAGTTAATTTGTTGAATAAGATTAGAGGGGTAAGTACCTGAAAAATAAGGACAAATTGTCATTGAACGTGAACAATTTTTTGACATTGATTTATGGTATTAATCGATATTCGATTTTCGGTACTGATTTACTCTTTCATTTCTCTATAAGAAAACAGAAAATTAATACGACTTGTTTATTTATCCGCGTTAATTTGTTGAAAAAGTTAGGTATTAATCGGTCTTTGGTTTTCGGTACTGACTTATTCTGTCATTTCTTTATAAGAAAAGAAAAATTGATACGGATCGTTCGTTTAATCGAGTTAATTTGTTGATTAAATTAGAGGGGTAAGTACCTAAAAAATGAGAACAAATTGTCATTGCACTTGGACAATTTTCTGACACTGATTTACGGTATTGATCGATATTCGATTTTCGATACTGATTTACTCTTCCATTTCTGTATAAGAAAAAAAGATTCATGCGAATCGTTCATTTATCCGCGTCAATTTGATGAATAAATTAAATATTGATCGGTCTTCAATTTTCGGTACTGACTGATTCTCTAATTTCTTTATAAAAAAATAAAAATTGATAAGAATCGTTCTTTTATCCGACTTAATTTGTTGAGTAAATTAGTGGGGTAAGTACCTGCAAGATGAAAACAACTTGTCCTTGCACTTGGACAATTTCCTTGACATTGATTTATGGTATTGATTAGTCTTCGATTTTCAGTATTAATTTAGTCTTTGATTTCTCTGTAAAAGAAAAAAAGATTGATACAAATCGTTCGTTTATCCACGTTAATTTGATGAATAAATTCGATATTGATCGGTATTCGATCTTCGGTACTGATTTCTCCTCTCATTTTTCCATAAGAAAAGAAAAATTCAGACGAATTGTTCATTTATCCGCGTTAATTTGATGAAAAAATTAGATATTGAACGGTCTTCGATTTTCGGTACTGATTTATTTTCTCATTTTTTTATAAGACAAGAAAAATTGATACGGATCGTACGTTTATCTGAGTTAATTTGTTGAATAAGATTAGAGGGGTATGTACCTGAAAAATAAAAACAAATTGTCATTGCACTTGGACAATTTTTTGACACTGATTTATGGTATTAATCGATATTCCATTTTTGGTACTGATTTACTCTTTTATTGTACTATAAGAAAAGAAAAGATTGATACGAATCGTTCATTTATCCGCGTTAATTTGATGAATAAATTAAATATTGGTCGTGCATGATAGGAGGGGGGAGAGGGAGAGGGAGAAGGATGGGGTAGTTGGTAGAAAGGCTGTTAGGAGAGGGGGGTGGGAGAGGGATGATGAGAGAGGTGGAGGAGTGGAGGAGACGAGAGGTAGGACGAGGAGGATTAAAAGGATGAGAGAGAGAGAGCGAGGGAGAAAGTGTGAAGGAATGGAATGAATGGTGGAAAGCGAAAATCGGCGGTAGGAAATAAGAATTGTAGGAGTAACAGCGGCATAGAAATATAGATATAGATATAGATATATACATATGTATAAGAATAGATGATAAGCGAACAATTAATTATAAGAGATAAGCGAGCGAGTAGATGTAAGATACTTGTAAAGTAGATTTAAGGAGGGGCGGGGAATGGGAGTGTGTGTGTGTGTGTGCGAGGGGATAGGGGCGAGCGTAATAGGAAGTAAGGAGCAGGGATTATGTTGGAATTTGTAACCCCGCCAGGGGAATCAATGAAGTATACATACAATTAAAATACTGACCGGTCTTCAATTTTTGGTACTGCCTTATTCTTTCATTTCTTTATAAGAGAAGAAAAATTGATACGAAACATTCGTTTATTCAAGTTAATTTGTTGAGTAAACTAGGTAAGTACTTAAGAAATTAAGAAAGAAGAGAGGTAAGTACTTAAAAAATAAGAACAAATTGTAATTGCACGTGGAAAATTTTCTGACATTCATTAGGGTATTGATCGATATTCGATTTTCGGTAGTGATTTACTCTTTCATTTTTCTCTAAGAAGAGAAAAATTGATACGAATCGTTCGTTTATCCGAGTTAATTTGATGAATAAGTTAGATATTGATTGGTCTTCGATTTCGATACTGATGTACTCTTTCACTTCTCTATAAGTAGAGAAAAATTGATACGAATCGTTCGTTTAACCGAGTTAATTTGTTGTGTAAATTACAACGGTAACTACCTGAACAATGAGATCAAATTGTCATTGGACAATTTTCTGACACTGATTTATGGTATTAATCGGTATTCGATTTTCGATACTGATTTACTCTTTCATTGCTCTATAAGAAAAGGAAAAATTGATACGAATCGTTCATTTATCCGCGTTAATTTTTTTCTTTTATTATATATAAGTGGCCCATGGGACGATTAAATATTCGAATACATGTTGCCGTATCAAAGTCTCCTCTATAATAAACGATTTGACACGTCTGGAGACGCATGATGTATCGTTGCCCGCATCCCATTCCCTTCGTCCCATTCCCTGCTTCCCTGTGTAAAATGTTGAATTGAAACGTATTAAAAATTATTGACATTTTGAATATGTCTGAATTCTGAATCTTTTTGTCCGAAGAAAAGGATTGAAAAATATTAGTTCCCATTAAATTTTACTGCGCTAAATGCGAGACAGTCTCTTTCGCCCGGATACCTCAGTAGGGAAATTTCTCTGGTACGCTAAATCCCGTAAGGCCATCAGTCTTTGTAGTATATCTCGTCGGTGCATAAGGTTTATATTACCTGTACATACATATTTTGAAACATTTTCTTTGGATATTATATCAAACGGATTTTGCATGTCACGTAATATCCTTCGGACTACACGGACATTATTATTTTGATCATTTTGATTTCTTTGGTATTCATTGAATTATCCAGAACGCGCAACTGCCACGTTGAACGACTCAATTGTCGTGCGAAATGTTTCGATTTTCACAAATTCATATAAAATTTTTCATTTTTCACTGATTCACAGAAGTCTTTCACTTTTTATTAGTTCACGCTAGGGAAAAGATTCATGATCGCTGCCCCGAGCAACTGCAACGCTTTTCGAATCATCTATGTCGGCGCGCTTTTACTCCTCAGATTTCTGTCATTAATAACTCGATAATTATTGCGAATCTCGCAAAATGGTATAAGACTTTTATGTTTGTCTCAACCCAATCAATTGATATTCAATTGATCAATTGAATATTCAGTTGATCAATTGATATGCTATCGCTATCGCTATCGCTATCGCCTAGCATTGTGTTTTGGGCTTTAGCCTCGCTCGCGTTGCTGAGAACGAGAGCGAGAAGGAGGGAATAATATCTCTGTGCCGCTCGGCGCGCCGACGATTGCCGAGCGCGTGGTCCACACGGATAGACCGAACCGGCTATGAGTGCGTGCGTGGTGGGGGAAATCAGAAAAGAGTGGTGGACATTGGCATCGTAGTTCATGTGCACGGTTGTACAGAGGGCGCCTCACACTGGGCTCGGCTAAAAGCGGCCTGTGACACCTCTCCTTCTTCTCTCTGGTCGTATTAAGCCCCTTGCACAATGCTAGGCAACAGGCAATAAGAATAAAAATAAACCAATCACAATAGATTATTCTTGGAATAATCGATTGTTATTGGTCTACTTTTATTCTTATTGCTTATTGCCTGGCATTGTGCAAGGGGCCTTAAGCCCTAAACACAATGCCAAGCAACAGGCAAGAAGAATAAAAATAGACCAATCACAATAGAGTATTCTTGTAATGGTCAATTGTGATTGATCTATTTTTATTCTTATTGCTTGTTGCCTGGCATTGTGCAAGGGGCCTTACTCGCTCGCCATATCTGTGTAATATGAAATGAGGCAGCTTAAGGCCCTAAACACAATGCCAGGCAACAGACAATAAGAATAAAAATAGATCAATCACAATCGATTATTACAAGAATAATCTATTGTGATTGGTTTATTTTTATTCTTATTGCCTGTTGCCTGGCATTGTGTTTAGGGCTTCAGGCCCCTTGCACAGTGCCAGGCAATAAGCAATAAGAATAAAAATAGACCAATCACAATCGACTATTACAAGAATAATCTATTGTGATTGGTCTATTTTTATTCTTATTGCCTGTTGCCTGGCATTGTGCAAGGGGCTTAACTTGGCGAACTTGGTGAACGCTATATCAAGTAGAGAACGTGCTCCAAATCGAAGGCAAACTAAAAAGTGAAAGTAGTTAGCCTTTGCGGCTCGTTCTTTGTTCTGTTTTCTTCGGCTCGGTCTTTGCCGCGAATTAGAGCGAGCGAATACACCATGAGATGCGTTACGGTTTTCTTCGTGCTCTCGGTGAGTCTTTGCATATTCCATGTTTTTTGCATCGCGAAAATATTATCTGTAGAACGAACGACGCAAGATCTTAGAAAGCTCGCTTTTGAAGATAGAAGATTACTTTACGAAGCACTACACGAAGATAACGAATATAATTTTATGATTAAAAGTTCAATTATGTAGTTTATCAACTTTTAATGTAAATTTTTTAGGTCCGTGTATATGTAAATTTTTTTACAATCATAAAGTTTACCATTCGCGATGCGTGACATGCGTCTCATTTGACTTGAAATTTTTGAATAAATTTGAATTTCCGGAGCAACGACTAATGGCGTGGCGCGATTTCATTCGCGTGTCCCAAAATTCCATTCTCCCTCTTCGGACCTGTTTATCAGTAACTTCTGTATCAGTGAACTATTGAAGACACATGATTGCACTTACCCACGTTATAAAGTTCGTTTGGTAGATTTAGAGTTTAGAGTCGTCCGTCTTTTTTTCAACGTGCAGCTTTCTCTGCCGCTCTCACGAAATAACGTCGAAATTGTGTATGTATTTTCTATAATTGTTAAATATTTCTTATTAGTTTTTCCAATATGGAAAACACCACGTTACCTAATCATGGTTTCTTCGATCATTGCATCATGTCGGGCTAATCGCGTTAAGTAATAACTTATAATGAATTGACGTGAAAATAACGAAAGAGTTAAGGAATTGTCGTAACGCGAGAATGAATTTTCCCGCCATTATGATGATATAGGTTACATAAGTTTTCTCGCAACCGGTATGCGATTGCTCTGCATTTTTTCCACAATAACTTTAATAATGCTAACGTTAACGTTGTGAAATTCAGCGCATATCCGATGTTAAGTTGTGAAAAGGTATTGTCGTCTAAAATATATTGCGTTTGCTAACACTGCTTTTATAACTCGGAAACCAATCTTCATTTCTTATTTTTGTGTCGCAGTAAAAATTGCTCTAATTAAAATTAATCTTAATGGGACATAATCAACTCGTTCATTTACACGTATATCTATATTTATTCACATATATATCATGTAGATGTTAATGAGAGCTTGTTTTCTGGCGACAACAAGTAAGATCACATCGTTTAGCGCAGTGAGAAACATCAGAAGTGTCGCTGAAATGTCAAAGTTTGATCTTCCTGCTCGTTTAAAAGGCAATGAGAAATCTGTCTGGTAAGTGGAAATTTATTATACAAGTTTGTAAAAATTTACTACTACTTACATTAATTTGATTAGGGTGGAATACATTCAGCTCGCTCTCCAGTATAAACCATTAAATTTGGGCCAGGGATTTCCTGATTATTACGCACCTAAAAATGTGACTGATGCCTTGGTTGCTACCGCAAACAGTGACAATCCACTTTTGCAACAATATACTAGAGGATTTGTAAGTATCTATACGTGTAAATTTAACTTTAAAATATATTTATGAAATATCTCGTGACATATGATATGATTTGGCAACATATCACATATACTTTATTAATAATTTAATTGAGAATTATCAGTCTCAAGATTTTTTACTGACATGCATGATCTTTGCAGGGCCATCCAAGATTGGTGAACGCTATTGCAAAACTTTACTCCAAAGTCATCAACCGTGATATAAACCCAAACCAGGAAGTGTTGGTTACTGCTGGTGCTTATGAAGCATTATTTGTCACTCTGCAGGGACACACAAATCCCGGAGATGAATGGATCATCATCGAACCTTTCTTTGATTGTTACGTGCCTATGGTACAAACTGCTGGTGGAGTTCCTAGATTCATAGCACTAAAACCGGTAAGGACTGGTAATGATTATCTGCAAGGAAAACATTGTTTACATTTAACACATATATTTTCAATTTCCCCTTTGCTCTACTTTCAGAAATCCACAACAAGCACGATCAGCTCTCGCGACTGGGTATTTGATAGAAAGGAAATGGAAAGTCTTTTTAATGAAAAAACTAAAGGTATCATCATCAATACGCCGCACAATCCGGTAGGAAAGGTGTTTACGTTGGAAGAATTACAATTTATCGCTGATCTCGCAAAGAAATGGAACACTCTCGTGGTATCGGACGAAGTTTATGAGTGGATCGTCTATGAACCACATCGTCACATAAGAATAGGTAAGAATCGCGATGCAAAATTAACATAAGAGAATAGAATAGCGGAAGATTATACCTATTTAACTGTTTGTTTCTTATTTGATTAGCGACGTTACCGGGTATGTTTGAACGTACGATTACAATTGGATCAGCGGGCAAGACGTTCAGTGTAACAGGCTGGAAGATAGGCTGGGCATACGGACCGTCGAATCTAATGTACAATCTGCAAGTGATGCATCAAAACACCGTGTACACTTGCAGCACTCCAATTCAGGTAATTTACACAGGCTTTACACAGAATTTCCAGAAGAATACATGTGGACGATGAGCACTTTATTCACTTTTAAGTATTTTAATTACAGGAAGCGGTGGCTATCGGTTTCGAACTGGAGATGGAACGTTTGGGCCAGCCAGAGTGCTATTTCCATAGTCTGGCGCAGGAGCTGCTGCCGAAGCGGGACTACATGGCTAAGTTCTTGTCGGAAGTTGGCATGGTTCCGACAATACCTGAGGGCGGGTACTTTATGCTCGCCAATTGGACATCGTTGGAGAACAAAGTGAAGTTGAACGAGGAGACTGACAAGTACAAGGACTACAGATTCACCAAATGGATGACTAAGAACGTCGGTCTTCAAGGTATTCCACCTTCGGCATTCTACGGTCCCAAACACAGACATTTAGGTGAGGACTACGTGCGATACTGCTTTATCAAGGTAAGTGATACGATTTTTAAGGTAAAATGACACGACCATGACGTTTGTTAAACATCGGTCGTTGCGCTTCCACAGAAAGACGAAAACTTAAAGGCGGCTGCTGATATCTTGAAGAAATGGGCATCTAAATAATTTATATCATGTGTAAATAATGTATATATATGATACATTCTCCGACATCTTACGCGACTGATCCTATTGAGTGTTAATCGAATTGATCAGTTTTTACAACAACAGTATATTAGATCTTTTATACGCTATTTCTAGTACGGCAAATTTATCCATGTAATATGTAAGGAAATGTAGAAGAAGGTGTAAGACGGCAGGTGATTTTTGCATACGTTTGTATCTCGGCGAATTCGTTATAGACGATTCTGCGTATAAATTAGGGATCTTCCTACAAAGTTTCCCCGATCCTCGATTAGACAGAGTCTCGTTGGAACCAGCTCTTGGCGTCTCTCGTGTCAACCTCGAAGGTCTTGCCGCATCTGCAAAGTAAACGTTTATTCTTGAAAAAAATTGTAGTTGGTGTTTTTTATTCAGATCCTCGAGTCCTCTCTTTCTCTCCTGAGACTTGAATCTTCTTCCGAAGCCTTCAGTCGTTGTCTCCTCGTTGGGATCCTTCCAATTTCTCGAATCCTTGAGTCTCCGAGCTTTTGCTGTCTTCTTGGATCCTTAGATCCTCTCATTCCTCGATCCTCACTCGCATCATATCATTACTCATAATCGTTCATTACTTGCCTGAACACGGCGCCAGGAACATGGCCGAGATAATTCGGTATCAGACCGACGTGTTTATGGTAGATCTCATTGGGCTGGACAAGTATCGGTGGATCAGGGCCAGACATAGTCACTTCTTCTCGATAAGTCGTCGTGCAGTCGTGCAGTAAACTTTTGAATGGCGGCGTACTCGAACGCGCGTTGTCGTACTTCGCGTATCCTTTTGCGAACAACAGTCAAATGTTGTGTATCGTGCCAAGTACTCGAGCGTTGTGAGATCTCTCAAATTATGTTACGAAAATAAGCAGGTTAAATTGCATTGTAATTATTTAGAGTCAACAATCGATGCGAACTCGGTCGCTTACTTTGCGCGTTTTCGCGGATGAAGGAACGCCACGTGTGATTTTTCCCGTCCGAAAGATGCATCTTATTTTTCAGAAATTACGGAAACATAAATTTATACAAATTCTGAATATCCGCTGACGCATTGACAGACTACGAGGCGATTTCCTCGTAGGCGATGCTCAAAAACAACTGAAACGAGACCTCTGCTCTTGCATCTCATTGTGGCGATTAAGGAAAAGATGTTTTCACCTTGAAGTATTTTTATAATGAATCACACAAGGCTGTGATTGCGTTAATAATGCTTTGATAACATGCAATCATTTAATAATCGATCTGACCATTAGTGCATTTGATCGATAACGATAAACCATTACATTAACCAAGATATATCTTTCATTAGTGTAAAACTGTACTAATTATTAACTTAATTATTTATGCATTTTTACACGTGAAAATAACACCATAAAAAAGTCGCGCGTGGTTCCGAGTGGTTTCTTCCTCGGTTCTCATTCGTGAAAATATTTCGTGTTCACTGGACTATTTAGCGCGAATGGCGTCCAATTAGCCTTCTGTACAATTTGTACGCAAGGCGGAAGTGTGTAGCCTTGTGGTGTCTTGTAGTACCATTTGCACGTCAGACGACGAATTCGTCATCGCTCCCACGCATTCCGGTCGCACGGTAAGTAAGAGCGATCTGAATGAGCCTTCCATCGGCTGCGATAGAAAGGAAAGGCAATATTAACGCAGATCAATGAACTCCTCTCTACGGTTACTTAATTAAAAAAAATAAGCATATTATTATAGTTCGATTCACCGACCGAGCGATCCTGCGAATCCCGCGACTCGATCCTTCTTCTCAGCCGATCTCGAGCTTCCTTGTGCCGTAATTGCTGGCGCTCGAATTCGGCGACCTGCTCGGTCGCGTTCACCGCGAATCTCTGACCGTATCTGCTGCCTGATCTCGGCAGGAAACCTAAATAACGTCCGATGTTTAATGAGTTCTAGGGAAGGCATTTGCACAATAATGTCAGGCGTTTCGAGAATCTCGGGATCGATAAGCACCCTCGTATCCCGGTATCATCGAGTGAACGAAGACGGGGACGGGGGTTCTCTTGGAGCGTGCGTTGACCGTGTCTACATCACGCTGCGGCGGTCTCGTTATCTGCGTAACGTTCGTTATCGGGTGATCGATAAGATTATGTCGTGAGCATTCCGTCGACGGAAACGTGCTAATACGTCATTGATACGCCGGATGTGAAGACTTATTCTCACCCGGTTTATCTCTGCGCGTAAGAGCAAAAGAACCTCGCGAGATTATCTCGAATTCTCAAAACCCTCTCGTTAGTCCCGAGCGATAAGGTTGATGGGAGAAATTTCGACGTACAAAGTCCGGTATTTCCAGCTCCTTTTTAGGCGATTAGGGATCAGATTGTTGAAAAATCGTGCTTGTTTTTATTGATAATATTTTGTGACGAACTGAATAAATGTGCAAGAATGAAAATTTTAGGTATAGTTATACGCTTATCATTATCCGGTGAAGCACTATAAAAAGAAATCGTATAAAATTAACAAAATGGCAGCTATTATTAGGAAAAAATTCAAATTTTTCAATTCTTTGACAATAAAGAAATTAATATCTCGAAATGAAATATTTTGACGGAGTTCACCTGAGAGCCGCATGAACAAATATTATTGCTTTAAAATTTCAAATCGATACGAAGCTCTCAGTTTCGGAGAAATCAATGCAAAAAATTGAACAATAAAATTTCGAGAAAAACGTGTTTAAAATTTAAGTGGACGTATATTTACATGAGTATTCGTTTAAAAACAAACTTTTTCTATTCTTCATATGTTATATAAATATATCTAAAATTTTCATTCTTGCACATTTATTCAGTTTGTCACAAAATCATCAAAAATAAGCACGATTTTTCAGTAATCTGACCCTCCAGTCCCCTCAAAGCGACCTATAGACAATCGAAAGGCTCGTAAGCCGCTAACGATTCATATGCTGACGTAACGATGTTGAACGATGATGATGTTGATACAAGTCGTCGACCGAATCATTGAATCGATCGATAGTTCGTCTTCTTCGCGGGAATTGCGCAATTCAATCGTGTGATTGTGCAATTCCTTCGCCTATGCGTATAACGCGTATTAATTAACGCGGCGTTAATATTCGATTGTCCAGTTGCACAATTAGGCGCGACACGCGATACACGAATTATACGATTCGATCGGTAGCGCGCAATCGACGAGCCGATTTGTTGCCAGGCGTGTTTTAAGCATGTCGGTCGCATATCGCGAGGCATAACAGCGTTACGAATTGTCCACCTCGGTGGCCGCGCGGCTCGACAGGATGAGCATATCCGCATGGTCAACTGTAGGATCGAGCAGCAATTTGTGCGTAGTCTTCGCGAACGTTTCGCCGCATCTGAAGCGATACTGCGGGCAATAACCGGCATATCTGCAAAGGGACAGCCGGGGGTGGTCAGCGAGTTGCTCGAGACCGCAAATTCGGTCGTCCCGATCGATCGATCGGGTGCAAATTGACCGCTCACCCCGGGATAAGATGAGGCTCCGGCGTGGTTAACAGTTCCATCGTCTCGCTTCCGCACCGAGGTACTTGTCGATTTGAAACTCGCCGGGGAAACTGCGGATTTGTGCCCTCACGAGCGACGAGGGGGTTACGCGGACCGCGCGCGGATCCTGAGAATATCGCGCACAATAATAATAAAATGCCGCACGATCGGAATTCGGATGTTTCGTCGGGCGGTTACGTTCACTCGTTACGGGCTCTTGCGGTCGCTTTCAACGCGCAAGGAATTAATGCGGGCTGAGATAATCGACCGGCAAGGGAAGTATCGGGACGATGACGACTGGGAGGAGAGGGAGAGAGTGCCTGCGATAGAGTAGGGAGGACACGCGTTGCGTGTCTCAAACGGGAGAAGGTGCACAATCATTGTTTCGCTTTCCAGTTTTCACGAGACCACCACGACGATAACACGTCTCGACGGCGGAGTTTCCCGTGCGACAACTTGACGAGTGCGCGCGAGCGACCTCCTTTGTTGTCGCTTTCTTTCACATGAAAATTGAAGTCGAGGATTTGTCGTGAGACAACCGGGAAGATTCGTTCGCGCTCGATTACGTAAAAATCGCGGAAGTCGCGATAGAAGCGATTTCATCTCGAAAAGCGAGACGTTCCTCGAAAATGGGGGTGGGAAGAGTCGCGCGCGAGGGGCGAGACGAGAGGAACTGACGACGCAAGGGGGAGATCTCCGAGAGGATATATTCGCGAAGTGATATGTATTTCTTCTCTCTCTCTCTCTCTCTCGCTCCTCCGCCTCCTCTCGTTCCTCCGACGTAATGAAAAGACGCGGGCTCCGTGATTCAGCGCGTTAATGAATTATTTAGTGGCGAGAATTATGTGGTTCCGACGAGAGACCAGTTCCATCTTCTACGTGGAGTCCGAGCCCGTAAAATTCACCGAGCGCAAGGTAAACGAGCCTTATCCAAGCTCCCCGATTAATCCAACGATTATATTTATAAGCAAGTTAACCCGCTAACCCGCAGTCCGGCCGCGCGCGCGCGCTTGATTAAACGCGCTTGATTCGCGCGTTGAACGGCCATCGATATTCGCAACGGCGGCGTCTCGCGAGGATTAACGGCCCGTGTTATCAGGAGGATTTGCCTGAATCGCACGAGTCAGCTCCTTACCGAGAGCGGAGACGATCGCGCGCGACACGACGTCAACGGGGAAAACGGCGAGCTCGATCGCGGCGGAAAAGCGGGAATTCCACCCGCATCTACTTACGTGTGGAGAGTGCTAATAATTTCGCGCGTTGTAAAAGGAAAAGTGAAATCGTGCCGACTTAACGCCTGGCCACGCCAGTTTACGAGCCGCGCGCCGTCGGGCGTTTCTCGTCAGCGGCACGAGCGAGAGCGACACCGACATGACAAAATGAAATTATCGGCGCGACGTGATCGCTCCGAATTTCCACTTGTTCTCCTTTTAATCGCGCGAGCCGAATTTCGGTATCGCGCCTGCGTAACGTGTTAGCCAACAAAGTTGCTCGCGAATCTTCGCTAGCGCGCGCGTTATGTGGATCGTTGCGAAATTTTCGAGCGCGCTCTCGACATCGATTCGACATTAATTCCGCCGTGTCGCCGCCGTCGTTGTCGTCGTTTTTTCGAGGCTCACTCCGGGGCCAGGTGCAACAATGCGCACGTACCCGGTGAACGAAAGCGACGCAAACGCGACGAAGGAATAATAATTTTCTCCTCATAGTCCCGGGCGTTTTGTTTCTCGTCCCCGCAACCGGAAACAGCGTTATCGCGACGCACTGCGTCACCGTGGGCTTCCGTGGGTGGACATGCAGCGACAACAAAGATACACGCACGCACGCACACACACACACATGCGCACATACACGCACATTGTACGAGCGTTATGCCGGACGCGTGCGTTAAGTCGGCTCGGTCTCGGCTTCGAGAGCGTTTTCTAACACCGAGATAACACGGAGAAAGACGCGAGTGTCGCTGGTTTTCCTTTATGCGACTCGCACGCGAGCGCGCACACAGGTCTCGTTATATTTAAAAAAATCGAGAGTGCCTCGTCGTGTGTACGCTTGATTATCGCCAAGTCGAGCGTCAAAGCGTGTTTTCTCGTCCGACGGCGCGGAGAGACATCGATGCGCCGCGGAACGTTCCGTGCGCGTCGCCGGTGTGAGTCGCGTGATAAATTAGCACTCGCTGAGCAGCCGACGACGCCGTTGACGTTCGCGGCGATCGTTAATCCCGGTGAATCAGAGCCCGGTGTTAATTTACCCGCGGCCCGCCGCCGCGACCCCCTCGCCTAATTAAAGCGCGTCGCGGGAGCGGCCGTAAATATCGCGCGAGCACGATCGCGGACCGCTCGGTGTGGGATAAACGTGTGTGGGTGGACTTCGTTGAAGTCTGCGCAGCCCTTTGGTCACTTTTTAGCGGAATACGCGACGCTAGACGCGCACGTCCCTCGGCGCGCGTGAATAATTCAACGATCGCGCCGAATTAGACGCATATGCGCTTTGTTATTGGCGGAAAAGCGCGGGAGCGGAAGCGCGGGAGCGTCGCGAGGAGTTTCCGTTGAATGTCAATCATCTTCCACGGCGCTTTCGTGAGCTTGGCTCCCCGAGCACGCGTTTCTCGAACAGGAGAAAAACCGCGACGGAGAAGACGTCGCGTGACCGATTCCATTTCTCGCGCGCGAGTGTCGTCAACTTGGCACGCGGCGTCCAAGCAACAGAGAGTCGGCCAAAAAAATAATTGAATTTAAATTGAATTTAAAAAATAAAAATTAAATATAATTAATAATTAAATTAAATTGAATTAATTGAAATTGAAAAATTAATTTAATTCAATTTAATTTCATTTCATTTAAATTTAAATTAAATTTAAATTAATTTAGGTTAATTTAATTTAATAAATTTAATTTAATTTAATTTTAATTTTAATTTTAATTTAATTTAATTTAATTTAATTTAGGTTAATTTAATTAATTGAATTTAATTTAAATTTGCTGATCGGGATAACGTAAGGACATCGTCTCGCGCGGAAACGAGGAGAAAGGTCGCGCGCGCGGGGTGAAACTCGAGTCCGCTCCGACGAATGCGCGCTCTGATCGAAATGAAATTTGCCGGTCGTTCGACCGTTCAATCGTCGAGATGCGAATCGTGATTTCCGCGACGGGGTGATCGAAGGGAGAAACTCCGCTGGGTACCGGGCGAAATCGCGCGTGGCTCCCACCTGGCGCTGCGAGTGCGCGGCGAGTGCCGCGTGAGTCAGCGCGCGTTCGCCGCACGTGCGTGTCGTTGTCGCATGCGCGTGTCCCGTAATAGGAAAGAATCAGCAGGGGAAAGGAGAGAGAGAATGAGAGTGAGAGCGAGAGCGCGAGGCATGTAAATTTCGGCGGGGGCCTGTTAATCTCGTCACTTTGATTCCGCTCCCGTGAATGTCAATGACGCTCGCGGCGACGATTTCTCGTCAACGCGCGAGCGGCAGCGCTCTGCCTCGCCGTCCCGCCGCCGAGCGCATTTCAGATTTGAGCGTCGCCGGGAAGCGCACGAAGTCCGGACAATAAACCGCCGCGAATGCGATGCGAGTCACGATCCGATCATGCGGATGCATCGGACGCGCCTGCATGTGTGTGTGTGTGTGTGTGTATGTGTGTGTATGCGAACAAAAGGGTGAAAAGACGCGGATGCAACGAGCAGCGGTGCGATGCACCACGCGAGACAACGACGACGTCCTCGTCGCGACGGGAACACGCGCGTGAATAATTTACGCGCGATGCGAGCGAGCGAGCGAGCGTCTGCGTCATTAACTCATCCGTCTCCCCGTCCCGATCTCGTCGTCGCCGAAAACGTACGTACGACTCGGAATATTGCTCCTTCTTGAGCGTCTCTTAGTCCTTGCTTCAAGCTTACCCAGCGGGTAAGAGATGCCGAAGAAATTGAATAATGACGTGGCTCGGTCGTAACTGCCGATAGGACGTGCGCGATAAGCGCGCATAATGAGTAATTAATTAATATGGATAATTAACGGGTAACCTGATGAGACTCATGATTAATTAATGCGGGTGATTTATGAGATTAGCGAGGGATAATGGGTCAGCGAAACAACAGCTCTCCTCTCTCGCGTGAGTCCGTCGTCTCTGTATTGACGTTAAGAGCTTCGGCAGGGCTTGGACATTCAAGAGAGGCGGCCAGAGAAAGAGGCTGTCGTCACGGTGTAAAGAGAACATCCATACAACTGGCGTGTGTAACGATGTAGCAATTCCGTGGTGGGTCGATAAGGATTCAGATTTGAGCTGGGTGCAACTGCGATGAGCCGCTCGATGCGAGTGGAAGTCAAGGCCGCCGCGGTGTGTTTTGAAAGCGTCGACGGAGTTGTGATATCATAATGACGAGCGTCGCGCGATCAACTCGGCCGTGCAACTGCGGCCGATTGACGGCGAATGACGCGGCCCTTTTTGCCCGTGCTGCATTTCCACGCTCGAGTCGGCACGGCGTGGAGCACGTGTGTATCCACGTATGAGTCACTCATCACTCCCGTGGGCCGTGAAAATATTCAATCCCGGCCTCTCGCCGGCATCGCGCGTCGCGCGATGTGCCCGACTTGAAGTTTCGGGGACGCCCTCGTTATTTCGCAAAAATGCCTGTGAGAAAATTCCTTCTCCCGAGATTTTGCGCAAGCTCAGCCTGAGTAACCCTGACTAACTCGACTCTGTCTTATTCATTTTTCAAAACATATTCCATCTCTGTTTCTTTTACCTCTCTCTCTCTCTCTCTCTCTCTCTCTCTCTCTCTCTCTCGCTCTCTCTCGCTCTCTCTCTCTGCTTCACGACTCTCCCACATTCGGCAGCAAGCCAATCGCGTTCCGTTTGTCCGTTCGCTCGTCTGTGGTCGTAACGCGAGATTCGGGAGGTTCTGCCGCGATCGTTCGTCAGGGGATCACGAGAAACTCGATCTTTCCGGGCTGGCCGACATTTCGAAATCGTGAATCATAGAGCGAGGCGGGCTAGGCTAGCTCGCGCGGTATATGCGCCGATGATTAAGGGCTGGAGATTAGAGGAATCGTCGGACACGCGTCGAGGATGCGGTTAACGGTACCCTCGCTCTCTCGGGCCCTTGCGCTCCTCGACTCGACACGTCATAAGGAATGAGCGATATTAACATTTATACCATACATGACGCGCGGGTGCCAGCCGGCTCCGCTTGCCTCCGCTTGCCTCCGCTTGCGCCGTCGTGAGTCACGCGCGTCCGCGGATCTGGCAGACTTTACGGCGCTGGAAGCACCGTAATCCATAAAGCCGAGCCGCGCGGCGAAACACGACGGTGCGCGCATCGTTAAAGCCCCGACAGCGAGGGGAGAGATCATAGACGCCGGCGGGGAAAACAGTTCGCGCCTCGCGACCGGCTGATATATAATTGGGCTTGGATTTTTCAGTCCTGCGACTCCGAGGAAGTGGATCCGAAGTTACGGACGCGCGCGGTCGCGAGAGAAAGAGGAAGAGAGAGAGAGAGAGAGAGAGAGAGAGAGAGAGAGAGAGAGAGAGAGAGATGGTTTATTGACACTCTGGAGAAACAAATCCTTTAGGTTTACATTAGGAAGACAGATACACGCCGACGGCCATGCGAGACCCGTGGTCATACAGAAGAAGTTAAAGAATGCATTAACATAATATAAAATGAAGCGACGCAGAGCAAGCATTAGAGAGCGCCTGACCTCACCTAGACAGTAA